ATGTTGTTTGTCATGTAAGCCCTTGGCTATTTCTCATAACCAATATCTTCCCATACAGAAAAAAATTCAAAATATTAATATTTATTTAACCGAAAACTTTTTTCAACTTATGAGTATACCTTGGCTAGGGATTTCATTACCAACTTAACTGAATGAAATGTAGATCATAACATTTTACTATCTAATAGTGACGAATTCTCTATTGGTCATTCACAATTTTCATGTAATTCTTGACAAACCCGGACGATGCCGTATTAGCGATCATTTGCAATAATATCCAATATTACCAAAAATATGACTGTAATTATATAAAGCACTATGATGACCTCAAGTCAAAAGACAATTTCACTACCAAAAGTTAGAGATTAACACTAACACTCAGACAGTTATCTATGTGGAATCTCCTCAACGTGTCATCAATATTTTGTTCTATAACAAAATATTCACTTATTCATTTAAGTGTCACCACACTTTAACTTGTGATACTACCTACTTATTTCACAAGTAAGAAATGCCACTCGTAATGGTTTTTCCTTAATAACGTTATCCGTATCTCGTTATTACTTACAATAATTGATAATTTAATATTCAATCATTTGTAATTTGTATCTCACAATCACAACTCATTGTGATTAACAAATTACTAAAACTTAAATTTATGGACTCGCATTTAATTTATTAGAACATTAATTCAATTAAATAATAGATCTGTCATAAATAAAATGCATTGATTATATATTAAAAGTATTTATGTCCACAATTGAATGAATTTATAGCATAACACTTACAATTACTTTGTAGAGATCAATGTGGAATTGTCTATTGAAGTCTTAAGCATATTTATTGGACTGACCATTGATTAGTGGCACATTAATGTCACTAAATGACTGAAGTCGAATAGTTGTAGACTCTCGGAAAAACTACGGTCGATTTGGAGTGGATTGAGCTATATTAATTTCCCACTATAAAATTCCAGTCATATTTCTCATCATCATTAGTCAAGTATAGTATTTCTTTAATTCTTGATCTCTTTGGAACTCAC